ACATCAGCCTTCCTGCTCCTCTGATGCTGCTTGGCCTGCTGTTTTCATCCAGCTCTACACCTTGTTATCTCAGATTCTCCAGCATCTGCAGTTCCTACTATCTCTGAATTAACTGTTGTTCCTGCTGTTAATGATCAACAACTTCTCTCTCCTCTCATTCCAATTGCAGACAGCCATCAGGTTGCGACTGGGTTCTGTTTGAGTCTGTTTGCATGTCAATTTGTATGCAAGGTTCATCACAATGCAGAGCAATATAAAAGGAGCTGTTTGTACATACAGGAAGTTGTGGTAAGTCAGATGGTTGTAAATCGGAGACCCCATGTACTGGTGAAATAGAATAGTCTACAGAATCGCCTGTTCCCTCAACAACATTATTTTAGTACAGTTCTTTGGGAAGATGGAACATAGTGTTTGGAGAAACAAAACATTTTTATTAGTGCTTCATAAAATTTTTCTACTATTTTGTGTCTCAGGTACATACACATATCTGGTTCACACACTTGTGGTTAGGCATTTTAACGCTATTCTACAATACAGAAAATTCTGAAATTCAGAAATACCTTAATCACAAGTGTTCCAGTCCGGAGAGTTTACTGAATAATATCAGTTATAACACTTATCATAATAATTAGCTCCATTCATAATGATTCTTTTTTATAATGAGAGTACTAATATACTTTATTCTAATTTTTTCCATTACAGCTATTACGTTAACATATTGCCTAACTCCTTAAATTGTTTGGGTCCATTATTTTAGATCCAATTGGAATCTACCACACAATGGATTCCCCATCCAGTTCCTCAGTAAAACTCTAGAATATCCCAGCAACAATCTGTAAATCATCAGGAGGGATCTTCCAAAAAGTCTTTCATCATCCTACCATTTTACCTTAGCTAAAGGGAGACCAGAGCTCCTTCAGGTCTGCAAATTTGTAATGCTTCATGACTTGGATGACTGAGGTAAATGCACAATCATCACGTTTGCGGAGATATAAAAAATAGGTGGGAAGGCAAGTGGTGAGGATGACGCAAGGAGTGTCCAGAGAGTCTTAGACAGATTGAGTGAGTGGGCAAAAAAGTTGACAGATGGAATATAATATGGGAATGTGAAGTCATGTACATTGGCAGGAAGAAAAGAAGAGCTGAATATTATTTAAATGAGGAAAGATGCAGAAAGCTGCCGCACAGAGGGATTCGGTGGTCCTACTGCAAGAACCACAAACAGCTAGCATCCATATTCAGGGGATTATAGAGAAGGCATATGAAATGTTGGCTTTATTTCAAAAGGGGATGGAGTACAGAAAATAGGGAAGACTAAACATGGCACTTGTCAGATCACACCAGGAATACTGTAAACAGTTTTATTTATTTTGAATTGTCATTGAAGGCAGTGCACAGAAGGGTCAGTAGATTGGTTCCAGGTATACCGGTTTTCTTATGAGCAGAGGGTGAGTAAGTTGGACTGGGGCTTGTTACTCATTGGAATTTAGAAGAATGAGAGGCAACCTTATTGAAAGGTATCAGATTCTTTGGGGGCGTAACAGGCTAGATATAGAGAGGTTGGTTCCATTGTGGGGGAGTCGAGGACAAGGGGGCATAATTTCAGTGTTGGAGTCTCCATTTAAGACAGAGGTGAGGAAGATCTTTTCTCTCAGAGGTTAGTAATTCTGTACCACAAAAGACTTTCAAGGCTGGGTCATTAAGTATCTTCAAGGCTGAGACAGACAGATTTTTAAGCATGGAGGGAATGGAGGATTAAGGGGCAAAAGCAGAAAAGTGGAGTTCAGGATTATTAAGTCAGCCATGACCACATTGAATGCAAACCAGACTTGATGGGCTGACTGGTCTACTCCTGCTCCTATGTCATACGGTCTAATGTTGCTTTAGTCACAAAACATCAAATCATCTTTAACCTAGTGTCTCACATTACCCACCTCCATTGGGTTGACAGTAATGGTCAGAGCAGAGTCATCCCAATCCATTTCATTTTCTTTCCCGCTCTCGCTTTCCCGATTAGTGCGCTGATGAGCTGCCCGGATCCTGAAGACCCCCAGAACAATTATGAAGACCAAGAAACTAATGCACACAACAATGACAATTGTGGCAGCACTGGGAATAACTGAAAAACAAGTTTTAAACACTGTGGATCAGAAATGAGATAAGCATTTAAGATTTTGAAATTCAAGAACATGCCTGTATCTGGAGCCGGCTGGCATCTTGCATTTAATTTGGTTTCGGGGATAGAAGGAGTACATTCTCTCTATATAGATACTGCGCTCATTATGATCCAGCATTCAGGAAGTCTCAGTTTGATTGTACTTAAAATAACCTCAGTGATTACAAAATAGTGTGGCAGTTGGAATTCTGAAATCGGCATTGCTTGCAACTCCAAGGCACTTTTATTTTCACCCAAGCCCCCTATGTTTTCCACAAATTTATTACTTGACAAATACTGTCACAGTGCACATCGCAAAAGTGATATACTGTGCATGCTTTGCCTCCTTGGCTAGCAAGTAGCTTCTACAACAATGCAATGTGACAAAGTACTATTCACTTCTGCCATAGCTGTCAGTACAATCAATCCTCCAAATAGATCCTGAACATCAGCAAGCCCAATTTACATGCACTCTGCCGCTGTCTGATCTGACCCAGCATGAAAGCCTTCAGAGAGATGAATTCCAGAAGCTATTGTAAGAAATGCTCCAAATAATAGATTTCTTTCAAAATTATTTTCCCAGTAACCATCACAACTCATTTAGAACAAGCAAACTTATTGAATCCTTTTTTTCCCTCTGGCATACATATAGAAACATTGTTCTGGAGAGGATGAGATGAGGAGAGTGAACAAGTCTGAGTGAGTGATCTGGGAAATGCATGCAAAGAAAAACAAGGATATGAGTGCACCATGTGAGCACATCTGCTACATGTATACACAAGTGACTGCAATGTTAAAAAATAACTATTATTTTTTAATAAAACATTTCATTGACTGTAAAGTACTTTGGGATGGCCTGAGGTCATAATGAGCGTTCTCAGCTTTTTTTGGGTGAGAGAGCAGATGCATGTGAAAATACAAATTTAGTTACATACAAAATTATAATACAATAACAGCTCTGTTTGAGAAAACTGCCCTTAGGCTGCCTTACTGATTAAAAAGGCAATAATGAGTTTAATTAAATGAAGGGTAAGGAACATAGGAAAGTTGTGCAGTATCATTTTGTCAATGATTATTCAGGTTAGCTAGCTGAATACTTATATTGGTAAAACTGAATATAGTCTTGGTGAAAAGCTAGCGGTTTTGGTGTTCTCTGCACTGTAACTTGATAAAGATCATTGAACATAATAGCCTATGCTAAACACCAGGGGAGAGAATGGGAGACAGTGGAAGACAGAAGCAAAAGTAGAGAACGTATTTGGGACAGGTGTGCAGGTGGGGAGGGAGGTGAGAGAATAAAGGAATTAGCAGAGAGAAGAAAGAGTGGAAGAGGATAGAGTAGCTAGTTAAGGTGATGGCACATGGCATGGGTTGGGGGAAATATAAATAAACAATTTAAGTGAGAGAAGGAGGAGAAGAGGAAAGGGCAATTGGAGGAGAAATGGGGAAGAAATGTCAAATGCTCCAGTTGGTTGGTTTTTGCATAGACTCTTGGTGCAATGGGTTAGATAGGTGAAGGATGTCAATGACTCTCTTTTTAGCTTACAAAATATCTCTAAGATCGGTGGCAGGGAGTTGGTAGGGCCAGTTCCACATATGAGGAAGAACAAGCAGCATATTTACACCTCTTGACCATTTCAACAACACATGATCAGCGAGAAAGTGGTTTGAAGGTGATAGGTTGCTTATTCCTCTGCTGGAAATCGAGTAACATTGTAGTATTCAGTTACTGCTCTTTCTTTATAGGTTGTATAAAAACGTGGAGACTGGCATATGTCCATTTCTCCAGCTTTTGCCATTTGCCATTTAGTGAAATGAAAGTCCAGCAGGTCAAAATAATTGTCCTCAAGCTTATTTCACACATTGATTATAACAGAATTTAAGAGGATAAACAACAATTACCAATCCACTGCATTCACAGATTCATGGGCACAAATGCAACTTTAATCACAAGCCTTTTGTAAGGTGTGGAAATGTGATTAGGAAGCTCATCTTGGGCGCAAATATGATATCAAATTTAGTTCAACCCACAAGAGTTGGCAGGGAGAAAGATGGAGTCAGTGGTTAGAGAGCAGAATCTGTGGAAGAGTCAGTGTTTTCCAGATCCATGAATGAAGCTCAATCTAACGTTCTTAATTATTTGGCTAAGTTTCAAGTTGATGGTCTAACTAGATTGGCGTATTTAGTGTTACCATTAGAGCACCAGTTAGACAAAAATGCCAAAAAAACATCATATGTCTTATAAGCATTAAACTCACAAAATTAAGACTTTTTATTTTGAAGGCTTGGAGCTGCAAGCATTTTAAGTTTGGATAGCGTCAGAAGTCATAAAACACCAGATAATAGTCCAACAGGTTTATTTGAAATCATAAGCTTTCAGAACGCTGCTCCTACAAACTTTACCCGACGAAGGAGCGGCACTCTGAAGGCTTGTGATTTCAAATAAACCTATTGGGCTATAACCAGGTGTCATGTCATTTCTGACTTTGTCCACCCCAGTCCAACTCCGGCACCTTCACATCACAGTTTAGCCAGCTGTAGCCGTGCAGTTAAGATATCCAGTTGCTCTTTGGTACTGCAAATCTAAAAACCCCAGTTTCCAAGCCAGGTAGGTTTTCGTCTATTTCTGCACAAACAACAGTTTTTAAAATGGTGGATCCAATTATCAGAATTCCAACTAGTCCAAATCTACTTATAAAGTGTCAACAAATATACATAGTTATCCCTAGTAAATTCAACAGCTGAACTTTTGATAATTTTTTTCTACTGTTAATAGTTCCATATCTTTGAACTCAATGTCATTCACTGTGTTTTGCTCCTTTAAGAAGATTGTTTTAGTACCTGAACTATGAGCAGCATTAAGGTTGTGACCTGGAAGATCAGGCAGCGGATGATGGATTGACTGGAGGAATTGGGGCTGAGCCATCACATGATTAACATGGTCCATAAGATTAATGTTGTGCAGAACATTCACCTAGACAAACGAAACCAACACGGTCAATAATCATCCTGTCAAATTAAATCAATTTTCACAGTCCTGTACCAGTGACAATCTAAGTGCATTACAGCTCAGCAAGTAAATTACAAGCAACATTCATGAATTGAACAGCTCTTCTACCTGACCTTAATACATCAACTGTCTGAAAGTCTATACTCCATTTGTCTTTTTCTCACCTCTAAATTGAAGTCATTGCTTGTGTAGCGTCCATTGAGCTCTGAGCATGTCAGCCTAAACTTTCGACCAAAAATGGATGCAGTTTCCCAGTTACGGTAACGGAGTTTACGCAGAACATGTTCGTAATTTGCCATGGTGTCCACCCCTAACAAACACAAGCAGACAGGGCCATCATGTGGAAGACAGCTTTGATAATGTGAATGCTTTCTGTTCACACAAGTGCCCACTAACCATTTTCAAAACATTTTTTATACCAGTGTTCAAAATAGTTAAAAAAAATCTTTGGTTTGAAGAGTGCCACATAATTCTGTAATATTTCATACAACATGCATCACAAGAAATAACATCAGTTCTAACATGACACAATTTGATGCCATTCTCTATGGGTTATTAAAATAACTCAGGTTTGTCTTCATATTTACATGAAATAAATCCTGTTGTGTAACTATTGCACTTTGCTGCTGCAATCCAATTAAGTTTCATACAGTTCGATACACATTTGAATGCAAGCATTCCTTTATAGATATTGTAACACCTGGTCATTAGCTAAAAATTTGAAATAATTATGAACGTATTCGCAATTTGGTGATTTGGGGATAACTTGATCATCATATCAAGTCTACAAGTATTCTGAAATATCAGTCAATTTGACGGATAAAAGACAGAAAATAAATTTGCAGTAATCAATTTATGCATTACCATTAGTCTTCTCTCGAGTTCTTTCCCCAAAAGACAGATCTGACACATAGTGTCACTGCCTCCACCTCAGTTAGGGCAGGGAGCCAGGTCCGATATCCACCTCAGCTTAAATAGGGATTGAACCGCATCCATTTGGCACCGATCTGATCTACATCAGCCAACGGGCCTCCCCAGGGAGTCTGAGTTACTGTGGCAACATACTAATTTTACATTCACGCTGTAGCTTGAAGCTATGGGTAGTGATGGTAAAGTTCCAATTTTTTTCCATTACATGGCTAACGTGGAAGCTCTCCCATTCTTATTGCATGCAACTGGCAAATGTTGGAATGATTTATAAGTTGATACTCCACCTGTTTGGCCATGTTTGAACAAACCTTCATTGGCCATCAAGTCCTGGAGTGGGACTTGTACCTGGTGCTTCTGGTTCAGAGACAGGGATTCTATCCCAATGCCACAAGACATACTTACTATTCTTCTGCATGAAAGAAAAGGAACTTACCATAAATGGACATTCCAGACGTAGAATTTGTAAACTCAAGATGTTTCCCATGCAGCTCAATTGGCTCCAGTTCCAGACATTCTTCTTCAGAATTTAGTTCATCTCCAACGATCAAAATATCACAGTAATCTAGATTGTGAACAATCTCTTCTGGCCCACCAATATGACGGGCTACAAAAAAAGATTTTACAAAAGTCTCGTGAATATAAAATAGCTTAATATCAAATTTCAACTGTACACAGAAACACAGCTCCTACTTATGAGGAAGGCTTACTATAAATCATTCCATTCCTAAACTGTAAAGTTTCATAGCAGACGTAGCAGTAACTCAAGTGTCTGTCTTCCAGCCACAGTCCCCGAATACAAATCCGTATTTTGCTCATCAAATATATTCCATTCAGTTGGATGATTTTTGTCATTTCTTATCCAAGCTGGCAAGATGGAATTTCACGTGAAGCTGAAATATGTCTTTTTAGGAGGAAAGCTCATATTTTTTCCCTGCCATATTGCTGCCTAGAGAAGTACAGAAGTCAGCCATTATTCATAGCTCCAGCTATGGCCCTTTCCTTCCATTGCACATGTACAGTGCACAAAACCTCCAGATGCCTAACATTGTAATGACGTGGTGACTACTTCTCAATTTTCTACTTAGCCTTCTATTGAGTCGTTAAAATCTTAAACACTTCTTTATACCTTCAATAATTTGCAACTCTCCACACAAGTCTGTTCAAGAATAGAATATTAGTCTCATATCTGAGAAAATATTTGTCACAGGTCCAGCAGGACACCTGAGTTACACTGGCAAATGTTCACCCTCTTCCAACCTTCCTTGTCTTTTTCTATTTTATTGATCCTACATTTAATATCCCAGGGCATTTTCTGCTACAGAGAATTTACTGCTTCCAGTGGGGTAGGTCAGCACTTTAGTCAACATGTTTCTTGATTAGCAGCAAATGCCAGGCCACAGAAAATCACAAACATGTGGTTTTAACTTTGCCTGTTTACCAAAATAATGAGTCAACAGACAGTCAAAAGCCCTTGTTGGTGTTATTTATCGGTATCCCGGACAATCTCACCAGCTCAATTTTTAACCAGAACTGGTAAATGAAGGAAGCTTGGGCAACTTCACAGAATCCTTCCTTCCAATAAACAGACTGGCCCTTGATGATGCAAGCAGGACCCAACTGGTACTTGAACTTCAGGCCTGAACAAGGAAAGCAGTTCAGCCTTTTCTTTTCCCTCCATATCCACCCACCCGAAGACAAAGGCTTGAAAGGCTCTTTCAATTTTTATATTTTATTTACTTGTGAAGCTAAGAAGAGCGGGAGTTCTTTTGTTTTATTTATTCATGCCGGCATTACTGGCTGTGCCAGCATTTTCTGCTCACCCCTGATTGCCCCGGGAAGGTGATGGTAAGCTGTCTTCTTGTACCAATTCAGTCTATTTTGTGTAGGTATGCCTAAAACGTTGTTACGGATGAAGTGCCAGGATTTTGACCGAGTGATACCGAAAAAAAAGTGATATGCTCCCGAGACAGGATGGTGAGTGGCTTGGAGGAAACTTGCAGGTGGTGGTTGCTCCAACATATCTGCTGCCCTGGCCCTTCTAGATAATTGTGATCATAAGGTTAGAAAGTGTTGTCCAAAGGGTTTTGGTGAATTCCTATGGTGAATCTTGTAGATAGCACATATTGCTACAACTGTGTATTTGTGGTGGAGGGAGTAAACGTTTGTGGCGCCAGTCAAGTGGGTTGCTTTTTCCTGGATGATGTCAAGCTTCCTGAGTGTTGTTGGAGCTGCAGCCATCCAGGCAGGTGGGGAGTATTACAAGTATTCCATCACACTCCTGACATGTGCCTTTTAGATGGTGGGCAGGCTTTGGGGAGTCAGGAGGGAAGTTATTTGCTGCAGGATTCTGAGCCTTTAAATTGTTCTTTTAACCACTATCTGACTAGTCCAGTTCAATCAATGGTAGCACCGAGGATGTTGATGGGGTGGGGGGATATCAGTAATAGTAATCCCATTGAATTTCAAGGGATAATGGCTCGATTTTCTTTTGTTTTCTTTTTCATTGGCTGGTGTTTGCGTGGCACAAATATTACTTGCCACTTGTCAGCCAAAACTTGGATATGTCCAGGTCTTGTTGCATTTCAACATGGACTGCTTCAGTGTCTGAGGAATCGTGAATAGTGCTGTGCAATCATCGGCGAACATCCCCACTTCTGACCTTAAGATGGAGGGAAGGTCATTGAGGAAGCAGCTAAAGATGGTCGCACCTAAGACACTACCCTGAGGAACTCCTGCAGGGATGTCATGGAACTGAGATGACTGATCTCCAACAAGCACAACCATCTTCTTTTCTGCTAGATATGACTCCAATCAGCAAAGAGCTTTCCCCCTAGTTCCTGTTGAGTCCAGTTTTGCCAGGGCTCCTTAATGCCACACTCAGTCAAACGCAGCTGTGATGTCACAGACTGTCATTCTCATCTCACCCCTGGAAGTCAGCGCTTTTTTCCATGTTGGATCTAAGGCTTAAAGATGTCAGGAACTCAATGGCCCTGGCAGAACTCAAACTGAGCTTCATTAAGCGTTGAATTCTTTGAGCAGATTATGGCGAAGCAGGTGTTGCTTGATAGCACTGTTTCTGACACCTTCCATCAATTTACTGATGACTGAGAGTAAACTAATGGACAGCAACTGGCCAAGTTGTATTTGTTCTGATTTGTGTGTAGAGGACAAAGCTGGGCACTACTCCAGTTGTTGGCCAGATATCAATACTTTAGCTGTACTGGAAGAGATTGGCTCAGGGTGAGGTAAAATTTCGAGTGCACAGCTCCAGGACTATTGCTGGAATATTGTCAAGGGGCATCGCCTTTGTGGTATCCAATGCCACCTAATGCTTTTTGGTACTGTAGGGAATGAATCAAATTGGCTAGAGACTGGCATCTGAGATGCTGAGGACCTCTGGAGGAGTTGGGTCATCCACTTAATACTTTCTGGCTGAAAATTGTTGCAAATGCTTCAGTCCTATATTTTGCACTGATATGCTGATCCCCCCCATCATTGAGAATAGGGATATTTCTGGATCCTTTTCATCCAGTGAATTGTTTAATTTTTCCCTGCCATTCATGGCTAGGTGTGGCAGAGCTTAGATCTGCTCTGTTGGTTGAGGAATGACTTAGCTCTGTCCATCACTTATGATGTTTGGTTGTCACTTCACTTTTTGAGATGCTTGGCCTGCAATCCTGTACTTTCCACTGAACCAGGGTTAAGCCCTGGCTTAATGGTAGAGTGGGGAATATGCTAAGCCACGAGGTTGCAAGTCGAGCATGAGTAAGATTCTGCTACCTCTGATATCCCACAATGCCTCATGGCAGCCCAGTGTTCAGTTGCCAGGTATGTTCAAAGTCCAGCACATTTAGCACAAAGCTAATGCCACAAAACACAATAGAAGATCTTCTCATCTCCATAAGGATTGTGCTGTTGTCACTCTTAACGATACTGCCTTAGACAGATGCATCTGTGACATGCTGATTGGTGCAGATGAGATAAAGTACATTTCTCCCTCCTTTGGGTTCCCTCACTATCTGCCTCAGATCCAGTCTAGCAGCAATGTTCTTTAGGACTCCAAATCCATCAAAGGTGCTGCTGCCAAGCCACTCTTGGTGACTGATATTGAAGGACCCCACTCAGAATACATTCTGTGTTCTTGCTACCCTGTGTACTTTCTAAAAGTGGTGTTCAAATTGGAGGAGTACTGATTCATCAACCAAGGGAGGACGGCATATGGTAATCACCAAGAGGTTTCCTTGCCCATGTTGGCCTGATTCCATTAGACTTCAAGGGGTTGGAGTCAATGTTGAAGATTCCCAGGGCAATTCTCTCCCAACTGTTTACCACCATACTGCCACGTCTGCTTGGTCTGTCCTGCCAAGGGACAGGACATACTCAGAAATGGTGATGGCGTTGTCTGGACATTCTGTGTAAGGTATGCTTCCCTGAGTATGACTATATGTGGCTGTTGCTTGACTAATCTGTGAGACAGCTCTCTCAGATGTTGGTAAGGAGGATTTTGCCATGGCAACACAGCTGAGTTTGCCCTTCTTGTTTCTTGCACCTAGATTGGTGCCAAGTGGTTTGTCTGCTTTCATTCCATTTTGAGATTTTTGTTAGTGGATGGTACAACTGAGTGGATTGCGAGGTCATTTCAGAGGGCAGTTAAGAGTCAAACACATTGCTGTGGGTCAGGAGTCACATGCAGGCCAAACCAGACAGAGATGCAGTATTCCTCTCCTAAAGGTCATTACTGAACTAGATTGATTTTTACAACAATTGACAATGTGATTTAGAATTAGACTGAATTACTGAATTCAAATTCCACCACTTGTCATAGTGGTCAGGTCTCATAAGGAACGTTTAGACCCATCTACTCAAGACAACTTACTCCATCCCCTTTACTCCCTCTCAGAAACTTCCACTCAACCAATTGACTTATTAAGCTTCCAGGGAATATTCCACGGATACCAAGCTGTGGCCTCTTGTCTCATACCTCTGCCCATTAAACCAGTTTCATCTTGCCACTGGTAACAGGTACAAAACTGGCCAGGAGAATACAGATGATGCCCAGTAATTAACATCACCCAAGTCTCAAACTGTTGAGGTCAGGAAGATCTACCACCCCCAGCTCTGTTCCATCCACGCAACCCCCAGCCTGAGTTAAAATCAAAGTTAAAATATTAGAAAGTAGGTTAAATTTTCAAACTTTGGGCGTCACGGTGGCTCAGTGGTTAGCACTGCTGTCTCACAGCGCCAGGGACCTGGGTTCGATTTCACCCTCGGGCAACTGTCTGTGTGGAGTTTGCACATTCTCCCCGTGTGTGCATGGGTTTCCTCCAGGTGCTCCAGTTTCCTCCCACAGTCCAAAGATGTGCAGGCTAGGTGGATTGGCCATGCTAAATTGCCCATAGTGTTTAGGGAGGTGTAGATTAAGTAGTTTATGGGGGATGGGTCTGGGTGGGATGCTCTGAGGGCCAGTGTGGACTTGTTGGGCCGAAGGGCCTGTTTCCACACTGTAGGGATTCTATGAATCTATTCTATGATTGTAGCATGTGTGGAGCAAATTTCTTTTGTTATGTATTAGGAAACACACTGATATGAGCAACTTGATGGGCAAACTGATAGGACAGAACCCAGTACTTCAACAATGTAGCATGCTGTTAATCAAAATACTGTAAGATTCTGATACCTTGAGTTCCGGGTCCAAATTGTGATTCCTAGCAAGTATCTTAATTTTGTTAAATATTTAAACTTCAGTTTTCAACTAATCAAGATTCAAAATTTATTGACACAATAAATTAAATTTTCCTATAAATTTGATCCTAACACAAACCACAGTATTATCCAAGATGAATCTTAGAAAATATAACTAGAAACACTTATCGCAGGAGATTACAATTAAATTGATTAAAGTTTCTGATTTGTACCTGATAAAACAAGTTCCACTGCATTAAGATTTTTAACTTGTCAGCTTTTCCCAGCCTGCCTTGTATTGCCTCTTCGTGTTCTTACCTTTGCCATCTTCGTGTTGCCCTCTTCGGATTGTGCTGATGATCCTGAGGCCTGGAAAGAGTATCACGCCTCTGTTGTTTTCAAACTCAGATGCCGGTCTGGAGAAATGGTCCAACCCACTAATTGTAATCTTTGGTTCAACAGGCTGAAGGACCACAATGTATGCAGAGATGTCCGAGATACTGATGCAAGTGTCCTCACCGAAACACCTTCACAAGTAAATAAGATATTATAGGGAAACACTCACTACCTTAAAGCCTAAAGCCAGTTTTCAATGAAAGAAGTTTGTTAATTTTATGGACAATTGCTTGAATCTGCGAGCAGGATCAGGAGATCCTTTACAAGTCTCTGCTATTATGTTGAACTCTTCATATTTCAACAAATCAAACAAATTCTGCTGAATTGAAAGATCCCGTTCACAGGTTTCCATAATTTTTCCATCGCTGAGGTGATTAGGATGGGTAACATAACTAAGCTTAAAAAAATAGTAAGAACTATGGATGCTGGAATGATCAGAAACAGAAACTGAAATTGCTGGAAAAACTCAGCAGTTAACGTTTTGGGCTTTGTGACCCTTCAGCATCTGTGGATCTGAAGGGTCACTGGACCCAAAATGTTAACTCTGCTTTCTCTGCACAGATTCTGCCAGACCTGCTGAGTTTTTCCAGCAAATTCTGTTTTGTTTTTAAACATTAAAAAAATTGTTGTTTTAACAAAACTTGTTTTCTGATGACATACATGCCTTCACAAGAGAATAGTTACACTGTAGACGAAACACTAAGCTGATTGGAAAAGCAGTGGCATCTTATTATTATTGCTGTTGTTTTCATAGCTTCAATTCCAGTTTGCAAGTGCCTGATTAGAAGTAGATTGTATGCAATAGATCCCAACTGTGTTTTAAATGCAAGGTTTTATAAGACTGCTACGTTTTGGGACTGTCTGTTTGATTTAGATGATATTGGTGAAATGAAGAGATCATGTTTTTGCAAGGGCTTTGGGATCCTGCAGCAACCTTGCAATGCAACGTGCACATTAGCAAACATAAACAGCAGTGTGGATGGCTCAGGATGCATGGGGAGGTCAGGAGAAGATACCAGGAAAGGGGCGAGGAGGAGTCTGTAAAGAAGGAGTCTGCAAGAGGTAACAGTTTTAAACAAGTGAACAAAGGAATGCTGAACTACCTGGAAACCAGGAAAAAAAATCACTGAGGTAATAAATTCTTTGAAAATGAAAATGGAATCTTTAGCTTAGAGCTGTAAAAGGTTAGGAGTTATTTGGTGGAAAAGAAAAGGGAAAAGTTAGGTGCGAATAAAAATGGGAGGCATGGGGAGGGATGAGGGAGTGTCAGGCAGCAGGACAACTAATTGCATTGGCCTTCAAATGAACTGTTGTAGACTCATAGACTGAAAGACTTCCTTCTCTGCTACACAATTACCTCCCATTTGACTCAAACTTATGGCAAAGGGGCTTGACAGAAGTGATAAAAATTTGAAAGAAAATGGAAGCTGAAAAATTTAGACAGAAACAGAAGAAGCACCAAGGTAAGGCCCATGATTTCTCTCCCTGGTTCAAGCCTCAGAGTTGTTATAAAGGTAAGGACATGGTAAATGGTTATACCTTAAACTGTCCATTTAGTTCCAAGATGGCTATCCTCTGGGCCCTCAGCTGTTCTGATCTGTTCAGAGATGTTACATCATACTTTTGGAGCAGCTGGAATGTAAACCTGGGCTTCCTGGATCAGAGGTAGGGACGCTGCCACTGAGCCACAAGAGCACACAGATCCTCATTTGTATTCTAACTTGCACCTTTCCTTAGAAAGAAGATCCATGTGATTTACATTGTCCTGAAGATTAACTTTAAGAGGGAAGAATGCATAAGAATCATCGTTGGATCCGTTTGAAAACTTTTACATTGGAAGATTAAAACATAGAAAATAGGAGCAGGTGAAAGCTATTTGGCCCTTTGAGCCTGCTCTGCAATTGATGATTATTTTGGCTGATCATCTAACTCAGTAGCATGTGCCTGCTTTTCCCCATATTCTTTGATGCCTTTTGCTCCAAGTGCTACGTCCAATACCTCTTGAAATCAAACAATTTTGGCCTTGTCTGCTTTCTTAGCAGTGAATTCCACAGGCACACCACTCTCTGGGTGAGGAAATTTCTCCGCACCTCAGTCCTAAATAGTCTACCCTGCATCCTTACACTATAACCCCCGGTTGTGGACTCTCCCGCCTGTATCTAAGCTGTCTAATCATAGAGTTATACAGCATGGAGACTCTTCGGTCTAACTCGCCTGCACCGACCAGACGTCCCAATCTGACCTAGTCCCATTTGCCAGCATTTGGCCCATATCCCTCTAAACCCTTCCTATTCATATAACCATCCAGATACCTTTAAAATGTTGTAACTGAACTCACCTATACCACTTCCTTTGGCAGCACCCTCTGCATGAAAAAATTACCCCTCACTGCTCTTTTTAAATCTTTCCCCTCTCACCTTAACCCTATGCCCTCTAGTTTTGGACTCCCCTACCCTGGGGCAAAGACTTTGGCTATTCACCCTATCCATGCCCCTCATAATTTTATAAACCTCTGTACGGTCACCCATCAGCCTCCGACGCTCCAGGAAAAAAAGCCCAGTCTATTCAGCTTTTCCTACAGCATGAACTCTCCAGTCCTGTTAGGATTTTGTAAATGTCTGTGAGATCGCATCTCATTCTTTGAAACTGCAGTGAATATACTCTTAAACAATTCAATTCTTCTCATTAGCCTCTCTCAAATCTGTAGGAACTGTTCCAGAGTCTATAGAATCTTGGAAACTGACCACCACTATTTCAAGGCCACTTCCTTAAGTATTCTGAGATGTAGATTATCAGGTCCTGGAATTTTATCAGTCTTCATTCTAATAAAATTTCCCAACATTATTTTCTGACCAACCTATTTAGAAATTTTATTATAAATCTCTGGTGCAGGTGGGGCTTGAACTTAGGCCTTCTGGTCCAAAGTTAGGGACACTACCACAATTTCTCAAGCGCCCAATACGTTAATATGGCTATGTCTATTGTGAAGAGTTCCTCAAGGGAGACAACCTCTCCAAATGCCTTGTAATAGTTAACCAAGTTTACTTTGAAGGCAATAGCTAAAAATTAGAAATAAATTTACAAATAGACACAAAGAAGTTTGAGATACTTAAAACATTATCTCAATACTTGAACTTTGATGAAAAATAATCCAAATAGAACACAGGTAGAGTTAACCAGAATTCACTTACAACTGAAACAACATGAACTGTAAGGAGACATAGAATCATAGGATCCCTACAGTGTGGAAACAGGCCCTTTGGCCCAACAAGTCCACACTGACCCTCAGAGCATACCACCCAGACCTGTCCCCCCATAACCCACCTAATCCACTTTCTCCTGAACAGTACGGACAATTTAGCAAGGCCAATCCAGCTAACCTGCACATCTTTGGACTGTGGGAGGAAACTGGAGCACCTGAAGCAAACCCATGAAGACACGGGGACAACGTGCAAACCCCACACAGACAGTTGCCGAGGGGTGAAATTGAACCCAGGTCCCTGGTGCTGTGAGGCAGTAGTGCTAACCAGTGAGCCACTGTGCCGCCATGAAAAGACAGAAATCAAAAAAAGGAAAAGGAGAAAGAAAGGGATTGTGCAAACTTGAATTAGGATTCAAAGTAGAAGAAAGATAAAGATAGAAGGCAAGATCTTAAAGCCAACATCAATGTTGCACATGTTGCGGCTAACCACAGAATAGCACAATATGGACTAGATCATATTTCATTATTCAGCAATGACACCAGACATGGTGGGCATGTAAAACCTTGTAAAAATAAGACTGGCAAGTGAAGAAGAGGAGCAAAGAGAAGACATGGCTCCTTGTTATCACAGTACCTTGTGTAATTAGCTAAGATTTTAAAGATCTCAAGTGACTGAAGGGGCGAGTATGAAAGTGAGTGAGTGGGCGAGATGGGAGTCAGTAATCGGTCAGGTGGTAATTAACTCAAGGGTGTAGTTGGGTGTGGAGGGTGGCAGCGGGAGAGTGCGTTTGGGTCAGCAGATGATGGAGGGTACATTTACGCTGTCCAATCACTCGTTATATCAGAGATTAATCAGTGTGGCATTCTCAAGCTAAGTATCCAGCTTAAGTCTCACACATTTGGCTAAAGTCTCTGACCCTGAGCTCGGTGTTGGAATCTTCCAAGCATTCTCCCGGGCAGTGAAGGTCAGCCAAGCAGAAGTTTAATCTTCCCAGATAATTTCAGCAAATTGCGTATGCCACAACTTCTGCAGGATCCTAATGAGCAACAGTAAACCCAGATTTCGCTGCTCAGGATCTTCAAAGATTTGGGCTGGAAAAGTTTCAAACCTTAAAAAGGAAGGGAGAATCTTGAATTGCAGAGAAAGACTTCGATTACATGAAGGGAGTTGCCAGACAACCTAATGAGTCAACTGCATTGCGTTTGTAGAAATATTGGCATCACGCCTAAATTCACTGAGGATGGAGTTACAATGCACTCATCTTGTGAGAGAAAATTGGGACAAAGTTACAGCAGCCTAGAGAAGTCTGGTCAATATTATCTGTGTGTTTTTTAGGGAAGGCTTTGCAGGTTAATTCACCCTTTTGGATAAACATTCTGCTGATTGTTATTACTCTGACAGGAACGAACTGCTGGGAATCAAGCCCCACGACTTCTTGCATTGTCCTAAAAGTTTAAGTGTCTGAGTGAATCACCAAGATGTTTAAATTAATTTAGTTTTACTGTTGCCGAGGACAAAAAAAAACTCTCACTGGGTTTCATCAATAACCACAAAATCTTATTTATTGTGGACAAACTTAGATTTTTACAAGTGGTTAACGACACAAACCTAAACTATGGCCTTTTAATCACACACACACACACACGTTCATACAGAGGCAGGGTATACAGCTCTGCTGAGTTATAATGGGTGGGAAAAGAATGCAAGAAAGAAGCATTGAAAATAGGAGCAGGAGTAGACCATCAGTACTTCAGCCATGATCACATTGAGTGACAAAGCAGGCTCGATCATTCAACTCAATACCTGTTCCTGCTTTCTCCCCATGCTCTTTGATCCTTTTGGCTGTAAAAATATTAATATTAATGGAAGTATTTAAGCCAGTATCCTTTAAAAAATAATGTCTCACTTAAAAGACCATGAAGGCAATG